ACTCACCGAGCTGCACCATACTGTCCAGGTGTGTGGGGTGTATGGCGAGCGCGTTCTGGAAGCAAGCGCGCGCCTCCTCCCACTCGCACCTCGCCGCGTGCACCAGCCCGCGCTGCACACAAATACACGTATATATAATATACACTGTTGCCGTATTAAAAATATTTGCTAACATACTTCAGTCGTTTGAACAATACATAATGTGAAAAGGAGTAAGGAACATATAGTCACCGTATAGAGCACAAGATGGCTGTGGGGGGTGAGCGCCGCCGCCTCCGCCACGCAGCCCGCCGCCGCGTGCGTGCGGTCCAGCCTGACAGCACGCAATTCAATGTAAATTCAGTGTTGGTATACTCGCATGTGTACATGTACGTGCGTGTGCGCGCTGTACCTGAGACAGAGGTCTGCGAGCAGCAGCCAGGCGTGCGCGCGGTGCGCCTGCAGCGGGGAGTGCGCCCCCGCCCCGCACCCCGCCCCGCCCACCGCGCTCGTGCCCCCCGCCTCCGACAGCGCGCGCTCCGCACGGAACGCGCCCGCTGACTCCGCGCGGATGGACGCTGCAACAACACGCTGCCTCAGTACGCGCGCTGTCACGACAACACCTCACCGGTCCATCGCTGCCGTCACCCACCGGCGTCCCTGTTGCTGAGCGTGTCGTCGTGCTGCGAGTCGGAGAGCGCGTCCAGCTCCGCGTACGCCACGCGCTCCTCCGCCGCCGCCTCCGCCTCCGCCTCCGCGCTGTTCAGCAGCCGCAGCAGCTCCTTGCCCGTCGCCAGCGCCGCCTGCCCGCACACAAACATACACACGGCTCGCTACATGACACACAAACTACATACAGTATGCGGTGTATGGGAGGAGGTGTGCACTCACGTCCCCGCTCTCCCAGACGAGCTGCAGCGCGGAGAGCGCCCACAGCGGCCACTCGGCGTTGGGGTAGTGGTGTCGCGCGAGTCGGGCGGCGTGCAGCGCGCGCGCCGCCCTGCGCCCCGCCCCCGCGCACGCCCACAGCGCCGCCGCCAGCCGCAGCGCGCCCCCGCACTCCGCGCGCACGCTCAGGCACGACCGTGTTGCGTCCTGCAACACAACATCTATATGTCTCACTCCATACATCCTAAGTACCGAAAGTGAGAGAGAAAAGTCGGGAAAGGTGTGACATACCATGGCCTCGTTAAGCATGCCGAGGTGCATGTACTGCACCGCGAGGTGGTACAGCGCGAGGTGGTCGTTGTCGTCGAGCCGCGCCGCCTGCACCAGGTGCCGCAGGCTCACCTCGCTCGTCGCCTCCTTCTCGATGCGGGCATTAAGTTTCTGAAAACATTATTGAAGACATCGTAATCGCCTATTTCATTGCACGAGATGGACGGGATGGGGGAGGTAGGGGGTCTACCCACCTGCCCGCGCATCTGGTGCCCGATGCCGACGTAGAGATGGCAGCGCGCCAGCATGGGCCCACTCTTCTCCGTCTCTATCGCCAGCGCCTCCTCCGCCATCTCTATACCTTCCTCTATCTATGGACAATTTTCATTGCATTTAAACTCTCGCCAAGACCGATAACATAAAGGAAGCTAAAAATATATTAAGCAAAAAGTGTACAATAAGTAATGTTTTAAGGCATAAAGCGGTACCGACCCAACCGGCGCGGTAGCAGTTGGCGGCGGCCAGCAGGCGGAGCGGCGCGTCCCCCGCGCACAGCAGCGCCGCCCGCCGCGACACGCACAGCGCGCGCACGTGCGCACTGTGCGCGCTGCTGCCTGCACACAAGTACACACACTTTCATTAAACAATTCTATACAGAACAGTTCGCAAAGTACAACATGTGTGTGTGTGTGTGTTACCTGGAGGCGGGGGGTGCGCGGGCGGGTGGTACGCGGCTGCGTGCGGGCGCGCGGCGGCTGCGGCGGCCAGCGCACGCGCCCGCCAGATGTGCGCGCACCCGAAAGAGAATTTCATCGCGCGCTCCAGCGACTGCAAGTTGACAGGTGCATGAGTGGGGGGCGGGGCGTGGCAGATCTTGGGGCGTGGCGGTAGGCGGGACGTACCTCCAGGAGGAGGGCGAGCTGCCCCCAGCGCACGGCTACGAGCGCTAGCAGGTCGAGCACGGCGATGGCGTTGCGCAGGGCGTGCGCGCGCGCAGCCTCGAACTCCGCGCTCTGGGAGAGCACGGCGTCGCGCGCCGCCATCGCCTCCCCCACCAGCACCAGCAGCATCACCTCCTCGTACTCATTGCATGGCACAAACTGCACCATAAATGAGTTTACTTATTATTATATATATCTTTGCACTTTGTATTTAACTTCTAAATATCTAGAAAATCCAAATGCTTTTGTCCACTTCTTTAAATTTACCGATAATCGCCTATATTAATGTTTCCGATGAGTTATAATACGTTTCCATTGCACATTTTGGTCCTTGGAGCCGGATATTTAACAATAATTTAAAATCTTCCTTTTTGTTACTGTCGTTTAGATAAAAACACTTAGTATTTGATGTGTCACCTGGTTAATGGCGGCGTACTTCTTGGGTTTCCAGGGTCCTTCAGAGACGTGGTCCTCTCTGCGGCGCGTCAGTGTGCCCTGCGCCGGCATCACCGCCACTTTCTCCGGAGCTTTGTACACCTGCACATAGGAAATATGAACAGAAAGAAAATGTATCAGATGTATATTAATTTGAAGTTTATATGAAGGATTAGTACTGATACGTTACCTGTCCGGTGACGCCGCGCATGAGGACCTCGGCGAGCTGTCGGGCCAGGGTGAGCCGCAGCGCCTGCGTGGACGCCGCCTCCACTGCAGTCAGCATCTCCCGGTATCTGCAACACAATACTGATACTATGTAGCCTTTCAACAGAGCTTGTATGATTTCCAAGATGGCGGCTCAAAATATCACACGAGTCGCACACAACACAATTCTCAGTATACAAATGGGACATACAAACACAACTCACGCCTGTAGCACAGAAGGGTGGGCAGAACCCAACAACAAACCTCTACAATCCAATACACTAATATTATAAATACAAATGTTTAGGTGGATGTATAGGTGGATATTTGTTGAAAAGTATCTCCGGGACGGCTAAATGGATCTTAGTTGTTGAACATTGTGTAGAAGACGACATTTTATTTTTATTTTGTGGTGATGGAGTCGCAAGTGATAGCTTATCTTGTTACAAATGTGTAACGAGCAGTGACCTGTCAATGGCGCAGTGCAGGCGGCCGGCGCGGATGTGCAGCAGCGGGGCGCGCTGCAGCGCAGTCTCCAGCACTGCGCCCGCGCGCGCCGCCTGCGCCCGCTGCAGGTACAGCAGCGTCAGCTCCGATGACACCTCGAAGCTGCGGATCTGACACCACACACAATACTTACACAACACTCATCTCTGGAAACTTTGTGATAATTTTATCTATATTATTACTTCGATTCACGTCACTGCTACAAACCACCATCATCAGCGCCAAACTAGTGAAAATCAAATAGGCACAAAACACTATGTCTTATAGCCATCTATTTAAACAAACAAAATATCTTGAAGTTAAATTCCTCTCTCGCTCGGTAACTTTCTCTAGCAATGTTAAAAAAAGGTTCACAGATATTATTTATCTTATCAAATTTTCCCATGGAACCTCATCGCTTAATGTCGATTTCTGAGTACAGAATGTTTGTGAGTACACTCACCATTTCAGTTTCCCTTTCAGCTTGTTTATATCGACTTGTCGAGCTGGGTATAGCATTCTGTTCCAAACATAACCCTTTTATAGCATAAGATTCTGCAACAATACGGAGACTGCGGCTGAAAGATTAACATCACATATGTTTACGATTTTCAAAAACTCATGAAATATGATTAATAATACAATTTTAAACACAAATCGAAAAAATCAGTTCTCTTTATTTTATTATATTTTCATATTTTTAATTTATTGATAGAAGATAACTATCCATTTTAAATTCAATCTCTAAAATACATTTATATTGTTGATATCAATAATTAAAAGTGCTTTTATATGTTGTTGCTATTCCACAATTAGCAATAAGTTAATATAAACATTACATCACTGAGGCATTACTAAATCAGACATTATGACTCATATCACATACCTCAATTCTACAGTCAGAACATTACTTAATTTTTTTGTAATAGAATCACATAGAAAGTATATCACTGTAATTTATTTTGTAAACAATTAATTTTAATAAAATAAACTCACACAGGTAATTCTTTCTCCGTCAAAGTGCTCAATTCCGCTAAATTGTACTGCTTTAGTGCTTCATCATAAGCACCACAAGCATAGTTCAATTTCCCCAATAGAAGGTGAGCATCAAGTGCTACTCCTGCTTTCTTTCCCGCCTCATCGGTAGCCAGAGTGAGGTAGCCCCGAGCTTCCGAGAGTTCCCTCTGTGCTCTTTCTATATTCTCTTTTATAGGAGGCCACTCTTCAAAGTATGATTCCAGTTTGCCTTCACCAATGAGGAAGTGAGCAAGACTTTCTGTTAAAGAATAAATAAAATAGTATATGTACAGGGAGTTAAGTAAAAAACCCTTGTTTGCAGAAAAATGTGTTAATATTGTAGAACATGTATAACAAAAAGACATAGAAAACTGATCTGACATTACTAAATTCAAAAGTTTAAATTTCTTTTTTTTTCTTAGATTTAATGGCTGCTAAAGTTTAAAAACTCCTTGAACAGTATATACAATATTTTATCTTAACAATGTATTTTTCAAATAAATTAAACAATAAAATATATGAAGATACTTCCCACAAACTAACAATGTTGTGAATAAACTCATAAGAGTTACACAAAACATTTGTTTGAATATATTTGAATATCTTTTTAATAAATTGTATAGTTTTGTATTTAATCATTAAGCTGTGAATTAATCCCTAAATAAATAAAATTCATTACAAATATATGAAGTTGTACAGAATAATTGTTAATACAAGAGTGGATTAAATACCTTCATCAATTGAATAAAAAAAACATTTATGTAACAGTGCTTTGAGCACAAACATTGCTACTGCGACCATCAAATGTTTCCATTTAACATAAATAGAAAATCGTGTATATATTTTCAGTAATAAACTAAAACTGAATCATAACAACTCATTTCTAAACCTTATGATTATTTACAATATTTAATAACACTTCATCACGTTTAAAATTAATTAAATCTTTAAACATTTTTTACACCTACATTAAATTACTTTACTAAGCAATAGTGCTCTTATTACTCAAGACATAGTCTAATTAATTTGTAGCAATAATTTGCACAACTTAAAGATAATATTGAAACTTTTAATTAATCTTTATTTGTATAATTTATGATTTTAATTGGAGGCATAACAGTTGGCGAGTAGATAAAGTCAGTTCTTACCATGTTGTGGTGATCTTGATTTTAATTGTTGGGCCAATTCCACAGCCTTCTTCCAATTAGACTCTTCACGATTCTTTTCTATCTCAGTTTCATAACTTCGGACAGAGTTTTTGCTTCTCGATGTCATTTTATCATGAGGGCACACCCGCCCAATCGTCAAACCATTGATTTAATTGGTAACAATTCACTCGGACATTGCAAAACCCTCAAAAATCGCAAGAGATTCCCTAAGCATTGAAGGCCAAACTTGACAGATGATGACATCCCGTCGATGAACGATGAACGTTTGCAGTCGTCAGGGTTGCTATCTAAAACGCAAATTTTACATATGGCAATTTTTGTTTTTTCTTTTATTTTTTTTTATTTGAAAAGAAAATTGTTTAAATGTATTATTGAATTGTAAAAATATAAAGTTCATATAGAAGTTAATTTATCCTATAAAATGTTCTGATGTACTTATTCCACAATAGATGGCGTTGTTTCCACTGATATAATTACATAATATTTTTTCCTTTTCTACATCAATATTTCTTATTTTTTAATTACAATGAGAAAACTTAGTAAAAGGTTAGTTACTCTCACACTTTGCCACCTGCAATTTGGAAACCGACCAAAAAATTTTAGAGAGGCTTTGGATTCATCCAATGCTTACTAAATGCTATATATTCATGAATATTTCTAGTTAGTATTTATAAATTGACTCATTTTATGTTATATACGTACTCATTATTTTTTTATTTGAAATATATAATAGGTGTGGTTGTTCTAGATTGCTAAGTATTATGTAATTAGCTACAGTTCTCGTTTGCTTATCTCTTCTCTATGATTGGTATAAGAAAAGACTTGTTATTGGTTCTCAGTCGACTCGTACAGAGTTATTTTGGTTAATAATTTAAATTCTTTGGTATATACTTTTAATTCTTCCATTTCAGAAATAAAAGAAATAATGACTGAGTTATTGAAAATAGATATTTGATTCCATTGATTTATTGTTCATTTATTATAATGTCGAATTAACTCTTATTAATGGAAAACACTTCATTTTCTTTTCTTTTACTAATGCTATATAGGATTGTGCTCATACGCTGTATTGTTGTAAAAAATAGGAGTAAATAATATAAGAATTCAAACTCGATAACTTTGGTGGCGACATGCGATGAAAATTATGTGAAACGGAATACGATAACTCAGTAATCTAAATATAGTGTGATTGTTTGACATTTAGCATGTTACCAGTCGTTGCCAGACACCGCGAGTTGCTGTCGGTGACGGCTGGTGACGGTGGCATCGCGTGGTAGCGGGTGGCACCGACGCGCAAGGCCGTTCTGACCTTTACCATCTGACACTGACAAAATGCTGAGACCCTTTCACATCATTACTTACCTTCACATCGTTAAAACATACAACACTAAACAGGCTTATATACTGTAGAATAAAATATATTATATGTATATAGAGATAAACGATTATATCTCTTACTTTAACTAATATTATTATCGCCACAAAACTTACTTATAAAGAGTTACGAATATTTTAACAGACTGGAAAGGAACGATTAAAAAAGAAAAAATTAAAAAAATGTATTAGGCACCACATTCAAGAGAAGAAACGTACCACGCCCAATCACAATGCTACTAAAACGAATACACCTAAATAATAGGGTAAGCCAAGAAAATATAGCGTAATCTTTATTAAGGTTAAACGCAAAAACAGTTACTGCGTAGTTAAGTAACAGAAACAACAGTTAACTGGTTCTAGTCATAAGTTACCTAACAAGCGCCTAATATAATTTAAGTAAGTATGTAAGAGGCTTAGCACGACGGCGCACTACGACTGACCTTCAGACTTGTTTGACATAAAAATAAATTAAAATTATTCTACGAATATGAAAAACTGTAAAAACTTTAAAAGTAAGATATATTTTTACAAATAATTACACATTTACACTATCGTACTGGAATTCTATGTCCAAACATAACCCACTTAGACGTAGAAGAGAATTAAAATGCAAATTTTAAGTATGTACAAGATTAATATATAATAATAGTTTTCAGTTTAACATGTATTCGTTTGAATAGAACTTGTTAGACTTTGTACTGACTGTTTAGATATGTAAATTGAATCCTGAATAATGTGTCTGTGTTCTCTCGCTAGTATATGCTTCATTTGCCAGTTATAATATAAGAGAATCTTAGCCGTAGTAATGATTGTAAAATATTTGTCACTGTTCTAATTCTTTAAAATATCATATAGTGTAGAGGGATCATATTTTTTTGGCTTCCAATATGAATATAATATTTCAATAACAGGGCAATACGATCAAGAACATGTCGATAACTTCAACCATTCCGCATAAGGTAAATTGGAAAGCGCTGCTCGAGTGCCACCTACCGGTTATATAAGGTAAACCAATTTCGCTGGACCCCCCGCCTCACTCCGGCAGGTCCAGGGGCGGCGGCAGGGGGTGCGCGCTCCGACATTGACCCGCAATGCACAGATGCGTCATTCATACCCCCCACTAACTCCCGCCCGCCCCGCTACCCTCCGCCTTCAGTTGCAACGCAATTGATGGGATAAAGGATATATTCACTGAACTCTGTCTATAATGATTACGGCTACGACGTAGCAGAGTTGTAGCTACGGTGTAATTGTCTTCAAAACGTCTCAATATCTCAGTCAGAGTAGCTTAATCAAAATATATATAACAAAAACTAATTTGAGAGAAGAGTTTAGAACTAAACTGGTTAGGGAGGAACAATATGTTACAATCAGTGTAAGTTGGGAACAACCAAATACATAATCCCAAAGTTTTAAGTACAATAGAATGTCTTCAGGTGACCAACATCGTTTCATAATATGCAAAAACATTAGAAAAATATATTAAAAAAGTATTTCTTACGTAATTAATTAGGTTTAGTATAAGATGATGTGTCTATCGCCATCAAACTTTTGAGCAGTTTGGCGACTTTTAAGCCTACGATAGCTATTGCTGTATACTTATCAATGGAATATAACACATTATATAGTGTTAAACTTACAAGAAGTGGTTGATTAAGGCTAACTCGGCGTGGGCAGACCAATCTAGCGAGTTACAAGAGTGATTGCCGCTTTGTGAGCAACACGCCGCCCACACGTCTCATCCTAGCCGGCACGATTGAAAGAAACTTTCTCAGAATATTATTTAAATTAACTTAATACTGGACTAAAGATATATATATAAAAATAAAGATAATAAATAAGATAAAGATAAAAATAAATTCTTTATTATATTATATTAATACAAAACTTTTGTGTTATATTATACTTTAATGTCAAAGTCAATTAAACGTGAATTACTAGTAAATAACGTTTAGTTTGAAGATTGCGGCATTAGGAATCTATTAATAGTTTCCTAAGCAATCGTGTAGTTGCCACTTAAAGACTCTGAGTATAGCAGTTAAGTAAAATATTAAGATACAAAGGTCGTAAAGTTCTTCGGCAAAATAATTGTTAACAGACTTCGATTACAACCAAACAGCCACCCCCATGTTTTTGGTTTTGGTAGCAAACACTTGTAGAGGATATTTCCCCTTACTACCTTGGTGCTGGCTCAAACACTGTTCATCGCAAAGAGCGAAAAATTTATCATGTACCTTGTCGGTTCCACTTAGATGAGGTCGGAACCCCAGCGTGCATCCCGTTATATAACCACGGATGTAGGTTAGTTGAGGCACAAGGACGCGCCCCACGGTCGATACGGACCCCCCGCACGGTGCTCCGGCCGCACATTACTTTGTGGCTTGTTAATACACCTTCTGCGTACCTTTATCAAACCTGCAAAAGTGCATAAATACTGACAGAATATTGCCAATCACCCTCAAACCGGTTTTCATTGTTGATATTTGTTTCGTGTGCCTGATTGCCCGATAAATAAGTACGCCTACACCGTAAATAAAACAAATATCGCTTTCTTAGCAAAGTTTTTGATAGTATCGTGTAATAAAAATAGCATAACTTGCAAAGAAAATCCATTATCATCGAATACAGGTGGGTTCGGAGTTCAGAGCGCGCACGAACACATTACTGGCTTTAACGTTTGCTAGATGAAACTTTGTCATGCCAACAGGCGGGCGGGGAAAACGATGCGGAGCGAAAGCGTTTGCCGCCATTTTGAAATTCATAGACAAGGGCATTTGTTCTTTGAATTAACTGTTTGCACTATGTGAGGATAATTAAAAATGTTTCGTTCAATTACTCGTCAGTTTCTAGCACCTCAATTATTTTACATGTGCGCTGCGAAAAATAAAAACAACTATAAATATAATAGAACGTTTAAAGGCTAACTTATCCATAATTTTAGCTGCAAACGTTTAGGAATAAAACTTTAAAAATAAAAAGAAAACCTAGAAAATTCAACTAAAATTGCTGAGAGATAGAGTGCACATAGTATATTAAAACGAACAGGGTGTGTGCGGCCGGGGCGGTGGCGCAACTCCGAACGACCTTGGCACGCTGCGCCGTACTGCACTGAGGGACGCTCCGGGAATGCGGCTAGTGAGCAGGGGGCACTCTAGGACTGCTGGAGAATCCGTACTGCGCCCTAGGTCCGTCAACTGCCAAGACACTAACATTGACTTCAAAATAAAAGGAAACTGCCAGCTCTTGATATCTTTGCAAATGAAGAAATAAAAACGGCATCCACTGAGAGAATACAAAAAGGTCTTATACCTTATTTGATAACAAAATAAAAGCTATAAAATCCGTTTGTGTTTTAAATTACAAAAAAAAGGTTTTTTATTTTTCAGCGAGGTCGAAGCAATTTCCTATATTTGCTAACTTTTATGTTATTGCGAAACTTCCAGAAGCTATAAAAAGTTAATGTTTTTTCGTTGGGCGTTTAAGTTGATTGTTTTCGGTTTAACTGAGTCGTAACTCAAAAAAAAATGTTTTTTCATTCTAGCTCGTGGCCACTTTTTAGCACACGAGACACAACTAAATCATCATCTTATATAAAAATCTCATGTCACAATTTTCGTTCCCATACTCCTCTGAAACGGCTTGACCGAGTCTCATGAAATTTTGTGTGCATATTTAGTAGGTCTGAGAACCGGACATCTATTTTTAACCCCGCGCGGACGGAGTCGCCGGCGACAGCTAGTATATGATATAATTGTCTTTCAACACAACTAAATAATTTTTTCTATTTCTGGCCTTACTATATAATTCATTTGTTACAGTGTATTTTATCCGTCGACTATTCAAAGAAAACCTAAGTATTTGAAATT